GCATTGAGGGGGGTCGCTCAAGCAAGGTCGAATTTGGCGAGGTGGACACACACACACAAACACACACACACACATTATATATATATATGTATACATATATATATATATACATATACATATACATATATATGCACACACATACATGCATGCATGCATGCGTACATACCTTTATGGCTTTTCCGAAGTGACGATCCACCGCAGGAGCCAAGGATATCTTGGCCGTCGGCGGTGGCAGCACCACGGCGCGAGAGGCGGGGGTGAATTCGACCCAATAATCAGCTTCCGAAATCCTGGCCGCTGGGCCTTGGGTTTAAGGTTTCTAGGGTTTAAGATTTAGGACCCGCAGCCTTAGATCCAGTTTGGGGTTAGGGTGTTTTAGGGTTTAGGACCCTAAACCCTAAACCCCAAAGCCAGTTTGGGGTTGAAATCGGAGGCCGAGGCGGCGTTGCGCCTCCCGGCCGCGGAGCGGCCGCGCTGGGCGGTGCTGCGGCTGTGCCGCGTCCGAAACGGCGAGGAGGAGGAGAATCCATACTACTACTAATATTAATACCACTAACACTAACACTAACGCTAACGCTATACTGTACTATCATATAGTAGAATGAGACATAGTATCGTAAATTAGAACTAACTAGAGTATGATATGACCGTTTCCTTGAGGAGCCCAAGGAACTCTTGGAGCTACTTCAAAAGAGCCCCGAGCTGGCTCGCAGCGCCGCGCAGGGAGGCTGCTCTGGGATGTAAAAAAGAAGCATCTCCTTCGTTTTCGGGTTTAGGGTTTAGGGCTGCTGGGAGAAGCAGAGTTTGGCCATTCAGGCCACCGGTTGTGCGTTCTGCCGACCTGCATAATAGCCGCTTCCTGCATCAGAATGCATCATGGCATTATGGCTCACAGCCGCTGGCATCGGACCCCTTAGAGCGGATCCACTGTGACGCCGCCGATGCCTCCCCACGCGCTCGGCTTAGTTTGACGACGGGGGCATGGACGTGCTTCCTGAATAGATGCGTCTTGTCGACAGGAGTACAGCTCTTTGGTGGAGCTGGGAGCCTTCCCTCATGGAGAAGATGTGGACAGGGCAACGCCGCAAGTCCGGTTCCAGCGTGGGCTCGTCTTTTGCAGCACTTCGTCAGCAAGCAGAAACCTGCCTGAACACACCCCGCCTGAAGCCTTTCCCTGCAAGTTTCGTCTAGCAGGCTCCAGCCTTTTCCTCACAGCTCTCGCGATGCTTTTCGTCCACGTCGTGGGCCATATCCGTGGGCCAGCAGATCCAGACTCCCAGCTCAGATTTTTGAGTCAGTGTGGCAGCATCTGCACGCGGCGATCTGCTGTGGCGCCCCCGATGCGCCCAACGCATCGCTGCCTGAGCAACCGAGGAGAAGAAGAGTGATGCCGGCCGATACACGAAGAGCGACGTTCCTTGCCCTGCACCTACATCTTTATCTGCAAGCTCGGAAGTCACCCCCAAACCCTAATTCCTAAACCGTTTCAGCCGAAATCGATTCTATGCCAGGGCAGGTTCGGAGAGCTTCGAGCTGAAGTGCGAGGCTATCAGGTGAAAGGTATTTGCAGTCTTAATGACGAACCTGCGGCCCCCTTTTTGCGAGCATGGAGCACTGCCAGAGATGTTCTGATACAAGGTACATGTTCTGCGATTTAGGCGTTGTTTCCATTATTTTACGGGTTCATCGAGACGTTGAGTGCAAACCTGCGCGGTTGCCGGACCTCCGACCTGCAACATGTTTTTAAGAAGCCTGAGCGAGGTGCTGTTCGCGGTATGTCACATCACCCTGATCTACAGCTACATGGGCTGCGGCATCTATGCAGGTGTGGGAGAGTTAAAGGCAGAGGCGTCGAGGCGTTTGACTGCTCAGATGTGGAGTAACCCTTAACCCAAAACCCTAACCCCTAAACCCTAAGCCCTAAACCCCTAAACCCAAAACCCTAAGCACACCAAGGCTGGACCGATCGGATGGTCTACGAGTTCTACTTCCTGGCCATCTGCGAGGTGCTCTGGACCAGCTGTCTCCATGCCATGCTCAAGAAGACAGGTCGGGCTTCTCAGGGTTTAGGATTTAGGGGTTTAGGGTTTAGGGTATAGGATTTAGGAGGACCCTAAACGCCCTAAATCCTTAAAACCCTAAACCCCTAAGCCCTAAACCCAAAAACTCCAAACCCTAAACCTCTAAACCCTAAACCCCTATATACCCTCAACCCTCAACAGAACGATGCAGAAAGCCGTCGACTTTAAGTGCGGTGACAGGCCGGGTGGGAGCCTCGAATGTGCTGGAAGCAATGCTGCCCTTCGGAGAGCGGCCCCTTGGCCCTTTGAACTTTCGTATATGTATGTATGTATGTATGTATGTATGTATGTATGCATGCATGCATGTATGTATGTATGTATGTATGTATCTATGTATGCATGTATATACATACATACGTGTTATGTGGTCGTACCCTTTCCTATATATCTACATCAATATCGCTCTCTCTCTCTCTCTCTCTCTATATATATATATGTATATATATCTACATATCTGTATATCCATTCACCTATATATCTGTGTATCTTTTGTATTTGTATACAATTTTCTACAGGTATGCAACTACCATTATATCATATGTATGTAAGTTATGTATCATAGCGGGAATACAACTGGGGCCCCTGGTGCCATGCTTTTTCTGTATATTTGGCATGTATCCACGTATATGTATGTTTGTTATGTGTCATATGTTATATACTATATACTATAGATTAGACCTTGTCAAACCTCGGAAACTTCACAGGTTTGACCTGCTCCGAGACGCGACGGCGGTTGCCAACTACGTCTGCATGGCCACAGCTTGGTCCTACGCTGGCCTAGCGGTGGTGCTGTCAACCAACATTCTGGGCACTATGCTCATGTGAGGAACTGAGAGTTTACAGTTAGTTTATCGTGTAGGGTTTAGGGTTCATGTGGGGAACTGAGCCTCAGTTGCGGGTGAGTTCATCGACAACTCTCCTCTCGCCTTGCCTCTTTGTTTGCCTTCGGAACATGGGCTCCTCTCGTGATTTTGCAGCATCGGCATCGAGTGCAGAGTCCTGTGTCGAATGCGCAGCTTCTGGCGCCGGGACGATCTTCGACAACTTCGCAGCGCCGCGTGGCCCACCCGAGCCTCCCCGGTGCAGGAGGCTCGAGGCTGCATAGGACGTGTACCGGAGAGTTTTTCAGGCCCCTATAGTATACGTAACTAGGGCGGCTGAAGAGCTGAGCTGTCCCTTACGGGAGGCCCCAACAGCTCCGGGTCGTCCGAACGAGGTGCCGGCTTTATCGTTTCACCAGGTCACATGTTGCACAAGAATAGCTGCACGCACGCCTCGCAGAACCAGGAACAAGGTCATGCGAGCTCTGATGTCTGCTGGAGGCGGAGGATCGCAACGAGACCTCGCAGCTGCTCGCGCTCGAGTCTCCAAAGGACATTGGCTGCAGGTTTGTTGCCCACGTCACGTTGTTCATCCTTTTCGGAAAGGGTCAGCCACTTCAGTGATGCAAAAGCACGCGAGCCTGAACCCTAAACCCTATAATCCCTATACACCCTAAACCCAAAACCCCAAACCCTGTAAACCCTAAACCCTAAACCCTGCAAACCTTTAAAATTGCTCTGGGAAGGAGCTTGGGTCCGATTGCTGCTCGAGGGTGGAAAAAAAGTTCTTCGACCAGCTAGGCGTGCGCCAGCCTATGGTTGAGCGTTTAGGGATTTAGGTATTTTGGGTTTGGGGGTTTCGGGGTTTCGGGGTTTAGAGTTTTGGGGTTTAGGGTTTAGGGTGTTCCATACTTTCGTGCATCGAATATCTTTTGTTGACCGAGGGAGTCTTACGTGACATTTTTTGGTTCAATGTAATCCATGAATTGTCGTACCTTTTCAATATTGCATATATGACAATACATATATATATATATATATATATAAATACACATGCATACGTAACGAAGGTATGTATGTATGTATGTACGTACGTATGTATGTATGCATGCAAATGTGCATGTATGTTTTTAAGCATGTATGTATGTAACTATATATATATACATATGTATATATATATATGTATGCTACACCACCTACTTGGTGTGTTGCTACCATTGGTGTGTGTCCGCAGAACTTCATGTGCACGGGCGCTGGCCTCCGCCATGAAATACGTTTGCCTGTACTGTTCGCCTCACCCATGTTTCATCTGGTCATGATCTGTTCCCTAAAGTCTCACGCACTCACCGCCAAGCAAAGTTTACGATACGTGTCTTATTGCTTCACCTAGAGTCTTAGAGCATATGTCCAGTTGTGTGATGTTTCATGTTCTTCTCCCTCATTCCTACATGCTGCTCAAACCACGCAATAGGCAGTATACCCACGAACACTCAAAACTCATGAATAATTGCTCGCACAGCCAGTCGGTGGCAGCACAATCTGGACAGATATTCATTCAAGGTGCCGCAGTTGAGTGCTAATGCGTTCGTAGATAGTGACTACCGATTTTTTTCAGTGAGAAGGAGATAGCACAAACAAAACGCAAATAATTACTCACCAAGCACTCACAAGCGACTAAATCAAGCAATGCCCTTGCCGTAACATGAAGAGTGCGTAAATACTCGAGTTGTTTACCGGTTGATGCAGCCAGCTAGGCTCGCGCCAGCGTACAGTCCCATACTTTCGTGCATCGAATATCCTTTGTGGCAGAGAAAGTTTGAACTTACATATGGTATACTAATTCTCTAATACCAAGTATATATTGTACCTGATGCATCGCATGTTTTATATGCTCTGTATGAATATGTATATATAGTATATATATATACACTATATATATATACACATATTTATGTATATATCACATGCATATTTGTACGTGTATGCATGTAATATGTAGCTATGTATGTATGTATGTATGTATGTATGTATGTATGTATGTATGTATTTTTATATATGGTATGCTACATATCATCTTTTGGACTTTAAATAAGCGCCGTTGTCGAACTATGTCATGCAAGATATATTGTATGTCAACAAGTCTTCAACGTATACAGATACCGAAATCAAATACATCAACAGTTTCATAAATACACAAGTCACTAAGTAAGGCAACATCAAAAACCATCATTTATAAATAAATACGTATATATCTAGTTTATAGGTTGATTGAAGTATATACATTATGTACGAATTATTCGCAAAAACAGTCTATTTCATGATATATATATATATCTATATAGATATAGAGATATATGTATGTCGTAAAAAAGGTATATTTCATTTAGATATATGGCCGATTGTAAGTTTGTTATACGTTGCGCCTTTTAAGTTTTACAGCCTACAGATGAGGTGTTATAGTTTCTGTACCATGTACTATATAGTATACAAAACACTACATATTATATACTGTATTTTCGGTGTCATGTTCTATGTTAGTCCTTTTCGAACGCATGTTATATTGATTCAAACTGTGTATCATACACCACCTGTTGTCAGTTAGTTATGATGTGTTTCAGGCTACATGTTGTATGATGTGTCGTTCGTTTTATGTCTTAGGCTGTCTACCATAGAACAAGTACTTCTAGTAGTATGTCTTATGCTTATTTTTGTGTTAATTGCTAGTTGTCAGCTACGAAATGTTATAGCGTGTTATTTCTGTCTAATTCTCCATATTCGTCAATGATTTTTCACCACATCTCACATTTTATACTCACTACATGTGTATATATATATATATTCACACACATGTGTTATCACAGAGTATCAGTGTTGTAATATGACCAACTGCCGTGTACTACAACTACTAATCATACATGTTCATATGTTATGTATGTTTTTGCACATTCTAGCTGGTATTTAGTAAATACAGCTTGAATATCACGTACTCTATTTTTTTCCCATATTATGTTGTACATCGTATTCTATGGTGTTGTTGCTTATAGGCACGTATACTCAATACTAATGCTGTTTCAGTATTAACATCTTTATATCTACTGCATATTGTATGTTATGTATTTTAAATAAATAATACATGCTAAGAATAAAAAATTATATATCTATATATATTCTGTCTGGAGGCAAAGGCACGTCCCATGCCAAGCAGATGGCGAGTCTTTGCCAGCAGCTGCCACAGGCCTCGATGTGTTGCGGATGTAGGGTTTAGGGGTTTAGGGTGTAGGGTTCAGGGAGCGCTTGTGCAATGTACAGGAGCGACCTCTTTTGAGGTTGGGGAAAGAAAGAAAGAAAGAGAGAGAGAGAGAGAGAGAGCCGAGAGCTGGATAGCATGTATATGTACTTATCACGGCGATACATACAGATATAGGTAAAGATATAATGGCATATAGATGTGTAGATATACGGATCAGCAGATGTATAGGTATATAGGTGCACAGGTTTATACACATGCAGATGTAGCCATATAGACATATGGATATATAGAATATTTACTCTAGAATGTATAGAATATATGTATATATATATATATATGTATGTATAGATCTGTAGAATAACTGCTTAGTAAGTCCCCTGACCCTCCACGTAAGGATATACGAACGAGATTAGGACATGTTCGTACATGAGCATAGAGATATGTAGATATATACATATCTTTACATATATTTTATATATACATACATATATTATACCTTTACGTATTTACGGGTATACATGGTTGTAGATGGGTATGTGGATGTAAGGATTGTGCTTCTATGGGTATGTGGCTTTATGGACATAGCCATACTAAACAGACATACAGACATGTCTGTATACATCTACATACACAGACATGTAGACGTGTAGACATATAAACATATAGACTACAGACATTTGCCATATAGACATATAGTCATGTAGAGGTGTAGCTACGTAGACCTAACTATAGACACATGGACTTATAGATATATGGGTATACTGTGCCGTTTATTAGGGTTGAGCGGCTGTCCTCCGCCCCGTAGTGTCATACCCCGGTAGGTGGGTCGGTGGGTGGGTTGGGGGATAGATGGCTTTGCCGACGTGTGGGTGTTTCTTTCTCGACGTAGGTGGTTGTGGCTTGCCCCCCTCGCCGTGAGCATCTGGGCTGTTGCTGCTGCTGAGACTTCGCAATCATATCAAGCTCCGGAAACAGCAACAGTTATGGGGAAATGAACCCCCCAGAGACCCGTTCCTGTGCATGCTGGCATTCTTGAGACTCTAAGATGTCTTTGCCCCAAGCCTGCAGCAGTTGCAAGGACGACGCGGGACCATACCTGGATAATCAGAAATATGGTAATGAAAAATGGATCTCTGGTTGCTTTGATATATGGATCTATGTGCATATAGAAAAAATGGGTATTGGTCTGTAGACTCTCTCTCTCTCTCTCCCTCTATATATATATATATGTATGTATATATAGACACCCAGATATGTGGATACTGGGGTATGCTGCTGCATGGATCTACACACACACACATATATATATACATATGTATATTTATATACATAGAGATATGTAGATACATTGACCTATAGATATGTATACAGGTCTAGATATATGGACACTTGGCTATAGGCTGCGTGGAAAAACGAAACTGCGAAAACATGGGTATCAGGACGTATGGATGTATAGATATATGGATATATGGATATATGGACATATATACATATGTAGGTATGTATGTATATATATATCTGTATGCGCAGGTCTGTGACTATATGCAGTTTTGCAAACATTTTGATGTACAGGTTTGTAGACACCTAAACACGTAGGTGTATGTATGTGTATATGTATGTATGTATGTATGTATGTACGTACATACGTATGTATGTATGTATGTATGTACGTATGTATTTAGGTATGTATGTATGTATGTATGTATGTATGTATGTATGCATGTCTGCATGTCTGCATGTATGCATGCATGCTTGCATGCATGCATGCATGCATGCATGCATGTCTGTATGTATGTTTGTCTGTATGTCTGTATGTCTGTATGTATGCGTGTGTATGTTTTACTGTTGAAGTGTGTCTGCACGCAATGTATGTGTATGTGGGTGCCTTGTATTCGTATAGATAATATTGCATATTACAATAATAATAAGAATAACAATAATAATACTAATAATAATAATATTATATATATATATACATATATATACATGCACATGTAAACATTTCTTTTTTAACTCACTGATTCGTGCATGGATGTTCTTTACTTCGTTATTTGCCAAGAGTAGTTCTACTTGTGCGAATACGAACTATGTGTGTACATTTAAACTTCTAGTGGTGTCTGTATCTAGTGTTTAAAGATTGCAAGTGTATGTCCGAATTTGTAGTTGTGCGTTTACTCATGTTTATAAACACAGTAAAAGTCTACTTTTTTGACCTCAACTCTCACTGATATCAGCATTTGTCGCTGTATTCATATTCAGATTCATGTGCAATCTGAGCTATAGTGACCGCAAAACTTGTATTTGCTTTTACATGTATAGTAGATCAGTACATCCTACGCCAGATTATACACTACTGTTTCGTGTCATATCATGTCATAAACTTTCAGCATAGATGCCAAATGGTATCACTATGTTGAGTTCTGTTAGATCATGGCATAATTCTCACACTCTATCAAGCTTTAAAAAACTTGCAATATGTAGCACTTCATAACAGTATATTCAAGTAGCCTGTTCTTTATTTAAACACATTTTATTGCATTACACTACATTAGAATGCGATAGATCACACCTTATTGCATTAGATTAACATTAGGCTACATTAGCTTACACTAGATTCTACAGGTATTACATTAGCTTACATTAGGCAACGAAAGATTATACTATAGAGTACGTATGTTAGGTCGTATTGGCTTAGATTACCTTTTGTTGCATTATTCTACATTCTATTGCATTATAGTACATAACCAATGAACTATTTTCATATGTACATGCATACGTGTATCAGTGCCTGCATTCATTACACCCATCCATGCACGCATTTATTTTCACTTTCTTACGCAATTCTTGCATCCCTGCATGCATACTGTGTACATATTACACATATCATATGCAGGATATGTGCATGCACATACACTATAGGTGTGTGTATGCACGTGGGTGAGTGTCCCCGTCCCCCTCCCAGGAATACTTGACATTATCGAGCGGCTGCGATGCCGTGATATTATTTCCCGAGAATTCGCACAACGTTCTAGTAACCCTGGGTATGATGAGTCAGCGCTTTGCCTTCTTCTAGGTTAGATTACCTGGATACCCCAAACCCTTCTAGATTCCTAATCGATCGCTGAGGTACCCCAACGGGGACACACCTGCTCAGCCCGGTGGAAGCCAGATCACGGTCGTCAAACCCGGATTGGGCTACCACAAGTCTGAGACAAACCATGGATCCATAAGCCCTAAGCCCCAAACCTTAAACCCTAAAATTCAACCCTACACGCCTCAAAGAAAGGAAGGATAGTCGCAAACGCTTTGGCTTCCGCCTGCCCAAGCAGTCACGCAGGGCAATCCAAGACAACAATGCTGCAGCAGTACGAACATTCGAACATCCTACCTGTAATTAGTATCATACAGAACCGATCGGCATGCTGCGTGAAACGGTCTTGGGCACGTACGGAACAGTGGAACTACAACTCCTTCTTACAGCCATGCCATACCGTAGCAGCGGAACCGTTTGCGCCGTACCAAGGGGCTTTGTTGTGCTGTACTGGCAGTACTATGGCGATGTGGATCTCGGCATTCCTTAAAGGATACCTAAACTCACAATCGAAAGTATGGTTTGCGGGACTTGGCTTGACCTGAGACCGGCTAAAAAGACAGCAAAAGCGCGGATGCTGGATCTGTTTCCTCACCGCCGGTGCGATCTGGAAAGGCGATATGGGGAGGGGGGTTGTGTTGAAAGGATGGCTTAAAGGGTCGCGCAATTAATGGTGTTATAGGAGTTATGAAATTGTGTGCTAGTGTTGTCCTCGAGTGAGGGACCCCACTATGTAAGGACGCCCGGACTGCAGCCCCGTGTTTCTCGAATCTCCCGTAGAATCTTCTGCGCTTTGATTTAGCAACGCGCGCTGCCACACAACGCACCCAAGACAAGACCACGATTTGCTACATGGTGGGATTAACCTAGCAACACAACATGGTATGGGGCAGCACAACAGCGAGCAAAACATAGAACATAGAACCGCCTGTACTACACCAAGGTCGCAAAAAAAAAAAAAAAAACGTCGAAACAACAGCTATACAGGTGAATATGCTACATAATATGAAGTTATTTACCATGGTAAAAGTATAGAACAGATTGGGGCTAGCGATGCATGTGGCAGCACACGAACAAGGGTATATACTCATTGCACTTCAAGGCATGCACACCTGCAGAAAAACATATGATGGCGCACACTACCATAGCATGGCATTGGCTCATACAACATCATCTGTGCTGCTGGAGGGCACATTATGACGTGGCACAGCCTAATCTTGTAGCTGCGAGCATGATCACGCAAATCTTACGCATGCTAGACTATATGCACGGTGCTGCCGCATGATGTATCATGGCAGTGGATTGTAGCACTCAAGATCTCAATGCCCCTGCTTCCGGCACATGCTTAACACCGCGATTTACTACAGTGCTAGTGCTAGCACAATCTAGCACAACTAAACAAGACCCGGAGAAAGGTATGACGGTATAACCATGAATGCGAGGCTACTGCTTTCAACCGTAAAGCCTCAGCCCTAAATCTGTCAAGAGCCGCTGCCGCTTTATGAGACTGTTCTGCCTCGTCTTGGAACTTGGCCCGGACTAGTCCGTTGAGCAACACCTCGTCCTTCTCCAGAACCACCTTTAGGGTTGGGGGTCTAGGATTTGGGGGGCTCTTATGCAACAATCTCGCATAGTGAAAACATGTGACATAATAACATACGCCATAATGTAGTGTAATACAACACATTATAGCACAACCAGGTATAGCACAATATAAACGCATAAGGACATAATGCCACTATCGACTACAATACAATACAAGATAATACATGATACTGCAATGAAATACAGTACAATACCATACAACCCAGGAATGTGAGGCAAAGCAATGCAATGCAATCTAATCTAACTTCGGATGATACAACATAGTCTGACATAACCTCAAAACATCCAC